TTAGTGGTTTTATAATGTATTTTAGGTCCTCAGGAACATAACTGCCTTTCTGACAGGTACAAGAGTTGTTATGCTTGAGCACAAATCAATTCACAGATAGACTGAAGAACACAGTGGATCTCAAAATGTGGGATATACTGTGACTCCATTTAATCTTATAAAACTTCTAAGAAAGGTATGACAATTCCCATTTAGAAATCACAAAACAGGCACAGAAATTTAACTTGCTGAAGTTGTACAGTCAGTAGTGGAGACAAGCTTCAAACCCAGGTCTGTCTGACTGCAAAAGCCCTAAATTGGACCCCTGTTTTCCTGAGCAACCCAGTTCCCTGAATTAGGTCCCCAAGCCCAGCCTTGCATGCCTGCTCAGGAAGCCTCTGGTTCCACATTTGCATGACTTCTAACATTCTCTGAATTCCCCCAGTGACTGACTCACCAGCTACCCTGAAACAACTGGGGAATAATTTCTCTTCCTGGTTTTCTCTGTCTCCAAAATACCGGCCTAAAGGTTTGAACATAGTAATAAATAAAAAGATCTGAGGGGGGTTACATAACTAAGATATGTATACATAAATTTGAGAGCTTTGTTTGAAATAAATGAGTGTTTTTCCTTTGAGTTTAGGGGCAGAAATGTCTAGGAAGTTTGAATAAGAAAGGATATTAAAGTTTTTAAATGAAGTAATTCAGACTTTTCTTCTCTGCTTTCATATTTAGGGAGACATATTAGAAAATGAATGTGTTTCAAAGCAGACAAGTTCCCATAAAATCATTAAACCCTGGATGGGTGATAAGAGTTCAGCCTTCTCTCAACATTCTGCCAGAGAAAGTCTAGTCCTTGGGTGCTCATGATCCAAGCTACTATCTTTATAACTTGGTTTTGTAAGGAGAGAAAAGAGGGCCTGGCCTGTTATTTCCACTGTGAGGACACAGAGCAAAGAAAAAGGAAGCAATGTCAAAAGTGATTCTAATTGTACCTTAAATGAAATCTCACTAGATATTGTGGGTTTCTTGGTTAATTAGAAAGCATTTTAATATGCTCTTTTCATGAAATAAACATCAATCATAGTGCCCCCTGCACAAAGTCAGGAACAACCATCTCAGTTCCTTATGTGACAAAAATAAGCCCTATGAGAAATGAGGAAGCTGTCTTCCATAATTTTACCCTCTGATCAGCAGCTCTTTTGAAATCGATCTTTTTCACAAACATTTTAGTTTACTTTATGTATGAATCTGTTCTTTATCAATCTCCCTCCCCACATGAAACACATATTTTATAGTCCACCTAGTGCTTACACATTAATAGCGATGCTTCAGAATATCTTCATAGCACAATTTAAGAAACAGCCTACATAACTGAGGGACATGGTGGCATGGCCATGAGGCAGAGTAGGAGCTGGCCACTATGGGGCCACAGCCTGTCACCTGTTTATAAATAAAGTTTTATTAGAACACAACCAAGCCCATTCATTTGTTTTGTCTATGGGCTTTCTTGCTACAAGGGCAGGGTTAAATGACTGCCATTGTCACTAAGAGTATCTGGCCCACAAAGTCTAAAATGTTTACTATCTGGCCCTTTACAGAAGAAGTTTGTCAACCTCTGTGATAATGTTACCGTAAAACAGTCAAGAGTGCCGGGGAATCTCCCCCATTGGCCAAGATGGTGTCAGGGGGAAGTTCTTACACTGAATGTGCAAAGAGCTAGCAAAATAATTGGATAGAGACACCCCCTTATCAGATTGGGTGTGGGACCAGGGGAAGGCAGGCACATGTGCCATAGAAGTCAAGGTGGCACAGGCAGAGGTGCCGGACCAAAGAGGCCTGTGTGTCTAGCCTGGGGAAAGAAGGGATTGGTTGAAAGATGGACCCACCTAAAGTACACGAAATTTTGGGAACTTAATTGGTCATTTTGAGAAAGCACCTGGCCCATCCCACACCCAAGCTAATATAATCCCAGGGGAACAAAGAGGTTCTGTTTGTTTGTGACATGCATATGCACGGTGTATTCTCCTGTTCTCTCCACGGCCCATGGCCTCCAGGAAGAAGCCTGTCTGTCTTTCTTGCCCACCTAGTGATGCACCCACCTGTGTGTTGTGCACTCTTGCTCCCAGGAGTACGCGACCACGCAGCCCTGGCAGGGCATGGGGCACAGCCCAAAGCCATGCACACTCCACACACAGGCTCCAGGAGGGAGTTTGAAATAGACAGCGGCTGGGAATGAGCTAAGCTACCAATATGGGACCAAGATATCTCAGCAGCTGCTTGGAGGCTCTGAAGGACTGCACTTTAAAATGGATAAGAACTCTGGACACTGGCTTTCATCTTGGCCTTGATGAGGACAGTTGGGAGTTTTTCCATGGAAAAAGCGGAGATAGTCTTTGAGATGAGAGCCTGCCATTCTCCCAAGTTGCACAGTACCTGAATAACAATCTTCTTCCTTTTCCAACAGCATCTGCCTCACAAGTTGGGCTTTTGTTGCGATAGCCAGCCGACCCTTTGTTTTTTGTTTGGTTACAATAATATGTTTAAAATAATATGGAGAGCTTCCAGTCAAGAAGGTGACATAGGCAGATATGGCTCGCCTCTTCACACCACCACGTCAAAATTACAACTAAAATATAGAACCACCATCACTCAGGAAATTCAGAAATCAAGTTGAATGGAAGTCTGACAACTACAGAATTGAAGAAACCACAACCATCCCACTAGTAAGAGAGGCATGTATGTGGAACAGGCTGGCCCGCACCACATGGATAAAAATATGCAAGGGGTATCTTGGGAGCAAGGGGTCCCAGACCCATGCAGGATTCCAGTGCCAGGAAGGTAAGTCCCCACAACTTCTGGCTGCAAAAACCAGCAGGGATTGAGTTGGTGGAGAAGGCTGCTGGAGCCCTAAACAGTTCCTCTTGGGGATCACACTCATGGACTCACCTACTCAAACTCACTGTTTCTGAGCTCTAGCACCAGGGTGGCAGTTTGAAGGGCACCAGTGATATACAGGGAGAGACTGAAATGTCTGGTATTGGGGCAAGCAGAGGCCACCGTCCCTTTGCTGAGTCCTCCCTGCCACAGAGCTGGTAGGCTAATGCTATATCTGAGACTCCATCAACCTGGCTAACATTGTGTGACCTACCTTGGAGAGCCACAAAGACTACCCCACCCAAGTTATGGGCCCACCCAAATTGCTTTTCCATAAGAATGGCTTGTCTTGGCTCCTAAATCCTATCAAACAAGCAACAGTCGGCTTCAGTGAGCCCTAGCGGCAGGCAGATTAGAGCCACAGCTTGGCTTCATCTGGGAATCTCCAAGACCAGCACAAGTAGCAGCCACCTCAAGTTGATTTACAGTTTATGCAGGGTGCCCTAGGCAAAACACAGATGGGGGTTGACTTCGGCTTGCACCACCTGGGAAGCCACAGAGCCAGTGCACCCAGTGGACAGCTACAGACCATGTTGGAGCACCATCCCCCTGCCCCTGCACAGCTGATCCTCCGTGGAGGGTGAAGGGTGGTGATAAGTGGTCACAGACAGTCTTTGCAGCTGACTGGCCTGGGGAATCCCTCCCATCGATCTGCCAGCAGCAACCAAGTCTCAACTACAAGAGGAGGGTATACTCAGCCCTCACAAAGAGCGCATCTCAAGTACCCAGCTTGGGTGATAGGGGACGCTGTGCTACTAGACCCTTCAGGACACCTACTACATTAGTCCACAATACCAAAACATGGAGTCAAAAGAGCGCTACCTAATACATAGAAATAAACACAGGGAGGCTGCCAAAACAAGGAGACAAAGAAACATGGCCCAAATGAAAGAACAGATCAAAACTCCAGAAAAAGAGCTAAATGAAATGGAGATAAGCAGAGTTCAAAGCACTGGTTATAAGGATGCTCAAGGAACTTGGCGAGGACCTCAGCAGCATAAAAAAGATCCAGTCAGAAAATGAAGATATACTAATTGAAATAAAGAACAATTTACAGGAAACAACAGTAGAGTGAATGAAGCCAAGAATCAAATCAATAATTTGGAACATAAGGAAGCAAAAAACAACCAATCAGAACAAGAAGAAAAAAGAATCCAAAAGAATGAGGAATAGTGCAAGCAACCTCTGGGACAACTTCAAGAGGTCCAACATTTGCATCATAGGAGTGCCAGAAGGAGAAGAGAAAGAGCAAGAACTTGGAAATCTGTCTGAAAAAATAGTGAAAGAAAATTTCCCTAATTTGGTGAAGGAAATAGCCATGTATGTCCAGGAATCTCAGAGACCCAATCGTGATGGATGCAAAGAGGCCCACTCCAAGACACACCATTATTAAAAGGCTTAATTTTAAAGATAAAGAGATACTGTTAAAAGAGAGAAAAAAGAAGTTAGTTGCCAGAAGGTTGCTGGATGGGAGCGGGTAGAGGGAGAATGGGTGAAGAGGTGAGGGGATTAGGAGTACAAATAAGTAGTTACAGAACAGCCATGGGGATATAAAGTACAGTATAATGGAGTTGCCAAAGAACTTATACATAGGACCTATGGTCATGAACAATGGTGAGGGGATTGCCTGAGGGAGTAGGGGGCGCTGGGTGGAGGGGGGCAAAAGGGGAAAAAATCAGGACAACTGTAATAGCGTAATCAATAAAATATAATTGGAAAGTAAAATAATATGGAAAATGCCCTTGTTAAAATATTAAGTAAAAAAAAAAGGGGGGATATATATTGTGTCATATATAGTATCATCACGATTATGTAAATCAAATGAAAGGGAGCATAAAAGAAACGAAAAATGTTAAGTAGTTGGATTTGGATAGTAGCGTAATGGGTGATATTTCTTACCCTTATCTATATATTCCAATTTTCTAAAATGACATTTCTTTGATAATAGAAAAAAAATCGACCCTCATTTTAAACATTATTTTAGTTTGTGTCTATTGCACATGGTTACATTTAGCTCTCCCGCCTGGCTCAGGCCCTTCCACAGGCATGCTGAGGGTGGGCAGCAGGAAGTCCCAGGGAAGTACCTTATGCTCGTCCCGAAGGTGGCTGTCCAGTTCCTCTGTGTGCTTGGTCTCATAGTAGCAGAGCTGGCATTTGTAAGGTTTCAGTTCATTGTGCTTTTCTATGTGTTGCTGGAGGCTCTCATCACTGGAGCAGGTGAAGGTACACTTATCACAGCGGAAAACTACTCCCTGCAAGTATTTTGACAGTTTGGAACGGCACACTTCAATGGGGACAACTCGCTCTTCTGTGGAGACAAATTGAATGGAAAGACAGGATTTTTTACTGATGGTAAGCAGACGTTCTTTCTTTGGAATATAAGAAACTCACCCATTCCATTTTGCTATTTTTTTTTATGAGTTTGGGTCTGTGAACTGCACACATGGTCAATACCCTCCCCTTGACCCTTCACAACATATTTCTCAATACAAGAAGGTATTTTTAAGACCAAAAGCTCTTTGTGTGTTTAATACCCAGAATGATCCATAAATAAGGGTGCGCAGGCCTGAAGGTCCTTGTTAATTTATGAGTGGAGGTGATTAAAGGAGGGGCAAAGAATGGGAAGGGGTGGCCATTTTTACCAATATTAATGATTATCAACAACTGATTCCTACTTTCTAATCAGTGCTATTTAGTTGAACTTACAGATGTCTTCAAGGGGGCAGGATACTGATCTTCCCCAAGCACCTATGCACCACCATTGTGAGGCACCTAACGACAACTAAGCTGGGGTTATTCCCATTTTTTACAAGTAAGTAAAGAAACTCTCCAAAACTCATAGACACTGACATTGGCCAAGCTGAGATCTGTATCCCCGTCTGTCGAACTGCACATCCATGATGTCCCATCATTTCCAATTGTTTCCCTTCCAAGATGTTCTCAAGGAGATAGTTTTCCTTTACCTGAAACCAAGGGAATCTCTAGTCTAATATCATATCTGAAAACAAAGGCACCCACACACTTCCATTCACTAAAACTCCAGCTCCAACTGTGAAAAGCTCACAAATGAAAAGGCTGCAGGCAGAGTCAGGGGTGATGGGGTGGTGTGGGAGATACGGAGGATTTGTGCCTTTTCATCCCTAATCTGATTGTCACAAGGGAAAAAAAAAATAAAAGAAAGAGGATTTGGGTGCTTCCCTCTGTTAACATACCAAATGCTGGAGGGCTGGGAATGTGTGTGTGCTTGTTTATTTTGCACTCTCTCACCCTTGTGTTTAACTGCTCAAATTAAATTTCACACCAGTCTGCCCAGAGTACCGGCACACGCGCCAGATATCCATAACTGGGATAAAATTAAAATCTGTGCTATTTATGTAAGGATCAAATATAGCGAGTGTTTTCACGCTGTGTCTGGATTCAGAAGACTCTTTGTAAGTTTACAAATGGACGCACACAACATATACTTAAATTATTTAGAAACAGCAATGTATTATTAAGTCAAGAAAGTGTGATTTATTCTCAGAGTCACTGGGCAGCAACGTTTCCCGAGCATCAGTATCTTGAGCGCTGGCGGGACTCACTAGGTGAGCCCTCTTGTTGCTGGCCTGCTTTGGGCCCCTGGGGAATTTTCCCCACCCAATGCCATGCCTTAGTCTCAACCGCCACAATCTCACAGCAGGGCAGACACTGCCTTGGGAATCCCTGAGTGCAGTGATTAATTGGCCAGCAAACAAGCTGGGCAGAGGGAGCGTGGAAGGTGGAGTCTGGAACCTACTCCCTGAAGCTCTAATGCATATGTTATTTTCCCTATACAAAGAGTCAGTCGCTTATTTAGAAATATAAATATTTTTAAACCGAAGTAGAGCAGACAGCTAAGAAACACATGATTATAATGTAATCCACACATTTTCTTAGAATAGCAAATGTTTAACAGTCTTCTAACCATTCAGTTCCACGGTTTGGTGTAAACAAAGGAGAAAATGCTTTGGTGTAAGCCAGTGAGCTTTAAGAAAGCCCATCCTATGAAGTCTTGCTCCTGTAACCCAGGGTTTCCCAAGAGGAGCGCTACTGACATTGTGAGGCCAGATAACTGCTGTTGCAGGGGGCTGTTCCGTGCACTGTAGGATGCTTGTTAGTGTCCTGGGTCTCGACTCACCAGATACCAGCAGCACCCCCTCTTCCCCAGTGTGACAACCAAAAATGCCTCCAGACAAATGCTCCTGAGGAAGCAAGGTTGACCCTCATGGAGAACCACCACACTAAGCACAGTGCCAAGCATAAAGTCCAGCTGCTCGAGGTAAGACGTGTGTGGACATGAACCATGTGCCAACTGGTGTCCACAGCTAGAGACGGGGTACAGGCGGAACCAGCACACCGAGGGTATGTTTTTCCATTCTGGGTCATGGGAAGTGTTGACAAGGACTTTTCTGGCACCTTTCTTGAGACTGCACCCTCCTTGTTCTCTTCATGTTTGTTCCTAATTTATATTTTGTCATTTCTTCCACTTTCATTCTTTGGCTCTGGCCTACGCCATGTGCCCTGGGTCTTTCGGTCTCAGCGGAGGTGGAGAACAGCTTGTCTAATTTTCAGTATAATGGTGTCTCTGACACCTTGAAGACAGTCGCTCAGGCACCCGACGGTCTTCAGTTGCCCCTGGTAAATAATCAGTTCTCTCAAATTTGTTTTTTATAGGTCTCCTTTTCAACTCTTCTACCACTTAGGCTAGTTTTCTGTGCAGTTTCTTACTTTTCTATGTGTATCTAAGTGACTTTTACACAGTCTTGAATACTCAGAATAATGCCTTGGAGTTTAAATAATAATAATTAACGTGAACAAGGACTATGATTTATTAAGTGCTCACTATGTTTCAACAGGGTTAGGTGCTCAACACTCACAGCTACTTTTTCTTCTCTTAACACTCTGAAAGGTCAGTTTTATTATCTTCAGTTTATTCATGTGGAAACTAAGAAGTGATCTGTTCAGCTACTTCCTCAAAGTCCCTCTTCTAGTTCTGTGTGAAGTTGCGACCTGGGAGCACCGGTCTCCTGACCTAGGCCAGCGCCTTCCTCCTCCCCCGCTGGAGAAGACCAGGGGACAACCGATCTGCATGCAGCGTACACACAAACCTTTCATTCTTAATTGTTTAAAAAAGGCAAAAGCTACAGATGTCTAAGGCAACCATTTCTATCTGAATTTCTTTCAAATAGCTTCTGGATTTGACAGAAGGTCATTTCCCTGCTTACTTACTTTGAAATGGAAGACTTCCCATTTCCAAACTAAGAGATTACCAACATCCCAAGGTATATGGATTTTTACTAACATTCATTTTAGAAAAATGTGAACTTTTTCACTCTAAAAACATGGCTAACATGACCAAGATAAAAACAAGACAGACTTTGAAAGGCAGGCAAATGACCAACAGTGTTTTCTGAATGAGGTTATTCATTATTGAGGCAAGTGAAGGACATAAAGTTAGAGACTGGAACATTTCCAGGTATGGACTGGGTCCCGTCTTGGCTACAGAAGCTCATTGCTCAGGGCTTTTTTTTTCTATGGGGGCAGCGACAACTGTGGGTCTTTCTTGACTTCACACCTCTCAAAATTACCTTGGGTAAGAAAATCAGAGCCTGAATGACACTCATTGTGACTCAGCTTCCAGCGCTGGCTGCAAAAATATTATGACTTCAGCAGTTTGACTACGAGATAGATTGTGTCTTGCATCTCCTACTCAAAAGATGCTTGGTGCTGCAGCTGGACCTAAACCCAAGAGGCTGGACCTCAGAGCAAAGCCGCACCGAAGCACGTGGGTGCTGAGGTGCAACAGGGCTGAGCAGTGTGTGCTGTTCAGCTCCCATGTTACTCCGTGGAAAAATCTGCAGAATTGCAACTTACGTGGGGTCACTTCTGCTCAAAACAGCAAAAACCACATGCCTGTGGAGTCCAGCATCAATAAGCAAAAATTCTTCCTGAAAGGCAGACCACAATGCACATGGGTTTCCTCCTACAACGTGCCAAGTCCAAATGAAGCAGGGAGAGATTTGGAAGTCATTCACTCCAACAAACTTCATAGGCATATGGTCACATTAAAGCACCCAGACCCTCTTTGGGCCAAACCAAAGACCCACCCATTACTCCCGCTCAACCAGCCAAGTGACAAGGGTGAGTCCTAGAAAGTCATTAAGAATGTAACAACAGTTTCTTTAAAAAAAAAAAAAAATCATCCGCAAACCATAATGAGACACACATAAACATAAGCACAACAGTTCCTGATAAGAAGTTATTAAGTTTCCATGTGAGCCAGGTTACCACCCTCAAGTCAGAGAGAGCTAGGAACTGTACCTCTAATCTGAACAGGCAAATGTATTTGATGGGGATGGAGAGGAACATGTAATTTCACTGAGTAAAATGACACATTGGCCATCTCATTGTAGATTTTTTCTCAAGAAAAATGATGCTGATTGGATAAATTAGGGGAGATTAGTTCTAGTTCAAAAGACACCCACGAGTTTCAGTTAAACTCAGTGTTTGTCTAAGTATTGGGGTTACAGGTTGGGAAACAGAAACTTTCCATTCATATGCCAACTGGAGACCAGTATCAGTAAGTCACACAGCTCCATAATGATAATGTAAATATTTGGCAAAACTGTGTTTCATTCAATAATGCAATCTTTGCCCAGTTTTTCACCCAGTTTTTCATGTTCACTGTAGTTGCCCAAGGTACATACAGGCAAAGTTATGCTTGAGGCATACAGCTTCCAATGGTGATAAATTTAATGGAAATAGATTCATGACTAGTTCTTTGTTTGTCATTGCTCTTCCCATTAAAGTTTGTTACTTTAGTGCACGACCTTGCCTGACTCTTGATGGCTATATCCCAAGAGCTTAAAACAATGCTAGCCCATACCAGGTGTTCAATAAATATTTGTTGCATGAATGAAAACCTACCAAAAAATCTACCGCCAACTTTCTCTTTGAAACAAAAGCCTCAGTGACTGATTTTCCTCTCATAGCTAACCTCACAAAATGTTGATCTGACCCAAGTTCACAGTTTCTCAAAAAGATGGGATTACCAATCCTTTGCTCCAATCTTTGCTAAATTAGTATTCGTCAGGTATCTTATCAGTCCCCTGGTTTCCCATCTGTCTACTGAGTCAAGTTCAAACTCCCATGTTAGTATCCAAGCCCTCCATCATTTGGCTAGAACATACATTTTCAGCCTGGCCTCCTATTTCCTTCAGGCTCCCCTCAGAGCAACCAAATACCTCTCTGTAAACCCACCTTGTTTCCACTCACTGGAGTGGTTTGTTA